GTTATGAAGCTGCATCTGACTCCAGGGGAACAAATACAGATTGTTGATTTAGTAATTTAATTGTCATAATATTGTAATAATTTATCTCTATTTAACGTCACAAGGGACATTGTTAACTTTTAAATACTAATTTTCCTGAATGCACTAATGTACTACTGTAACAGTTTTTATGCAGGACTTTTCATTAATACATTTTACAGTGTAGTACATTCTAAAAGGTGACTGTATATATATATATATATATATATATATTATACACACGTATATTTTAGAGTATATTTCCATACATATATATATACGCAGGACACAGATAAATGATCTGATAAAACACAGTAAGTAAGCTTTTATGAAGCATCTACCTGACCTCTGACCTTTCCTCCTGCCTTAACCCCGACACCCTCCTGTGTGTGTCTGTGTGTGTCTGTGTGTGTGCGCGCAGTCAAGGTGCAGCGTAGTCCCCGCACCCTTCCCTGGGAGACTGGAGGCTCCGCCCCCATCCTCCCCCCCTACCACTACAACACGTACCACCCCGACCAATCAGCTGCCAGATCACACAACCGCCATACAAACAACCCCCGTACGTTCCGCCCTCCCCCCCTTTCTCTCTTTCGCTCTCCCCCCCATGGCTGTGATATTTTCCTGTCATCTTCATCCTCATCCTCATCCTCACGGTCTCTCTCTGTCTCTGCAGCTCTGAGCCACTCGTTCTCTCCCGGCTCCATGTCGGCTTACAGTCTCTCGTCCCTCAACATGAGCACAATGCCCCGGAACATGTATCCCACAAGTCCAAGGGGCACGCTGATGAGGAGGAAAGGCAAGAAGAAGGACTTCAAGAGCTCCTGTGAGTCTGACCTCTGACCTCTGACTGCAGCCCTCTGCTTCTCTGACGCCTCAGACGTCACAGAGGTGTAACAGACCATAAAACTCAGGAACAAGGATCAATTTACTGATACAGAGTAGTTTTATACTGATACCTTTACTGAAACAAAACCTAAAAAAGAAAAGGCCAAAAATATTTCACCTACTGATGTGAAAAGCAGAGAATATAAGATGTATAAAGTCTTATCTGTGTCTCCCCGTCAGTGTCTCTGGCCTCCAGCACCGTTGGTCTCGCCGGTCAGGTCGTACACACGGAAACCACGGAGGTGACGTTGCTAGGCGACGGCGTCATGGGGTTCGGCCTGCAGCTGCAGGGCGGCGTGTTCGCCACGGAAACGCTGTCCTCGCCGCCGCTCATCGCCTACATCGACCCCGACAGCCCGGCGGAGAGGTGATGGGACGATACCGTCTGCACGACCGAAGCTGACTACATACACATAGTAACTGTGTGTGTGTGTGTCTGTGTGTGTGTGTGTGTGTGTGCAGGTGTGGCATCCTGCAGATTGGTGACAGGATTTTGTCCATAAATGGAGTTCCCACTGAGGACTCGACTCTGGAGGAAACCAATCAGCTGCTCAGAGACTCGTCCATCACGGCTCAGCTCACGCTGGAGATCGAGTTCGACGTAGCCGGTAACTTCACACAGACGTACACGCACACGCGTGCATGCAAACACACACACACGCACAGTTAAATGAACCGTCTGTTTGTGTCGTCTTCTTCTTCTGTGGTGTCTCACTGTAACTATCAGACAATGTGACCGTTGACTCAGTGAAGGAGATGATGCTTATAACAGTGGCCTGCTGTTACATTTATTATTATTTTTATTATTATTATTTATATAGGATATTTAAACATCAAACAGAATAAAACACTTAAATGGAGCGACGTCGATGGTACAAGTATTTAACTACTTGTTTGTTTAATGCGTATGTTGTGTCTCTATGATAGAAACACACAGTAATGTCACACAACTCTACATTCCTCCGGTGAAGTGAACTCGCGGGTCTGTGTGTCCCTCAGAGTCCGTCATTCCCAGTTCAGGAACGTTTCACGTGAAGCTGCCCAAGAAACCAGGAGTGGAGCTGGGAATCACCATCAGCTGTGAGTGGACGCAGGAAGTAGAGACGGCGTCTAAAGTTCTACCTCGACGTCCGTTTGCTCTTCAACCTTCAACCTTTCTCTTCTCTTCTCTTCTCTTCTCTTCTCTTCTCTTCTCATCACATACTCTGTCGGAGCTCCGTCCAACAGGAAACCAGCTGATCCTCTGATCATCTCTGACATCAAGAAAGGCAGCGTGGCACACAGGTACACACACACACAGGTACACACACACACAGGTATACACACACACACAGGTACACACACACACACAGGTACACACACACACACAGGTACACACACACACACACACACACAGATACACACACACACACACACACAGGTACACACACACACACACACACACACACACGCAGGTACACACACACACACACAGGTATACACACACACACAGGTACACACACACACACAGGTACACACACACACACACACAGGTACACACACACACACAGGTGGACACAAACAAACACACAGCTACACACAGCTACACACAGCTACACACAGCTACACACATACCGATAGACACACAAGCAAAAGCAAAACTCCGTCTCCACTGTCGGCTGCGTGAAACTCGGTCAGCTGATTGTAGTCGGTTAATTAGGGTCAGTGTGTGTGTGTGTGTGTGTGTGTGTGTGTGTGTGTGTGTGTGTCTCAGGACGGGGACCCTGGAGCTCGGAGACAAGCTATTGGCCATTGACAACATCCGGGTGGAGAGCTGCTCCATGGAGGAAGCCGTCGACATCCTGCAGCAGTGCGAGGAGCTCGTCAAGCTGAAGATACGTAAAGACGAAGACAACTCGGGTACAAAGACGAGTCCTCAAACCAACGAACCGGCTGTAGGAAGGACTCTGTCCTCTAGAGGTCACCAGAGACCAGAAACCAGCCTCTCAACACGGGTTGGAGTACTGAGCAGTACTTGTTATTTTTTTATTTATTTATTTTTTCTCATGTTACGTGGAAAAGAAAGAACCCAGAAATTTTGGTAAAATAAAATAATTTTTGATAACATGTGTTTAATAGAAATCTCATGTATTAATGTTCTATTGATTTATTTACATTATTCTTTTCATTCTTGTTTTATTTAAAATTATTAGGAAAGTAAATAAACAAGGAATTAATATAAAATCCAGACAATATAAAATAAATGGTTGATTATATTATTATGGTGATATTTAATGGCATATTTAATTCCTCGTTTTTATTTTTATTTTGGCAGCTTTGTTCTGAAAATTATTTTTGATTAATAATTATAATGTATTATTAATACAAATGCAGTAAAATATAATATATAGATATATTTAAGTGATAAGAGACAGTTTTGAGAAACATCTTGTGTAGTACAATATAAGTACAATCTCGTTTTATTCATTGACATGCAGACACTAATCCACGTCCCATCATGCACTTTGTCGCTCAGCAGTCGACCTTTTGTTTGAATGAACATTTATTGAACGTTTCAGACGAACAGGAAGTCTCCGGCAACATCATCTACACGGTGGAGCTGCAGCGGTACGGAGGCCCGCTGGGCATCACCATCTCCGGCACCGAGGAGCCCTTCGACCCCATCGTCATCTCCTCGCTGAGCAAAGGAGGGCTGGCCGAGAGGTAAAAGTACACACATATATATATATATATATATACACACAAAGTATATCTTCAGACTCAAGTGTGTACTGTTGTGCAATAACAAATGTTAATAATTGGAATAAGAGACTCATTTAATTATATATTCATTTTGATTTACAAAGAATTTTTTTAAAAGCTATTTATAATATTTATACTGAGCGCCGGAAGGGGTTTAATTTCTTCACAGTGTGGAATATAGTAATGATTTGATTGATTTGTATGTATTTTTATCGAGAAAGAGCACGATTTTTTATTACTTTGTATATCTTTATTTTATTTTATTTTATTTTGGCTGCTCAGTTTATTATTGTTATCATGTTATTCTCTGTTCAACTTCAAAATGTAAAAGCAAAACTTGTCAATCTATGATGATGTGGAGAACATACAGTATTACACCTTATTATGTATTTATTATTACCATTTAGATACCTGTGTGTGTGTGTGTGTGTTTGTTGTTGTTGTTGTGTGTGTTGTTGTTGTGTACTGTAGGACCGGAGCCATCCACGTCGGCGATCGTATCCTGGCGATCAACAGCAGCAGCCTGAAGGGGAAACCTCTGAGCGAAGCCATCAGTCTGCTGCAACAAGCAGGAGAGACGGTCACCCTGAAGATCAAGAAGCAGGGCGACCGTACGTACACGTTGATGTACTTGTACACACTCAGGATACTCGCAGCACTCGCACACTGGTTTGCCCCACGTGTCTTTACACTTACAGTATATTTTGGATGTAACAATGTTTCCTCTCTTTAGTGTCAAGCCCCAAGTCTGGTGTGATTGGTCCAGGCCTCGGGACGGGGGCGGGGCTTTTCCACGAGCACCAGGACGGGTTGGACGAGCCCGTCGTCATGGTGGCGCCCCTGCCCGGCCAGCGGGCGTTCAGCGCGCTGCCGTCGGTGGACAGCGCCGTGGAGTCCTGGGACGGGTCCAACATGGACGGCAGCTTCAGCACGCCGGGTAGGAAACCGAAACCGCCGACCTTTGACCTTCCGCGGTGTCAAGTCGCGATTGTAATGACAGAGACTTCTCTCTGCGTGCAGCGCCGCCGTTTCAGTCATGTCCGTACACTTTTCATGAGTGGCGCAACACCAAGACGAGCAACAGCCAATCGTCTTCCTCCACCCGGCAGAAGGCCAATCCGCTGTCAGATCTGGGCCTGATCGACGACGACTGGGACCGCCCACCAATCGGAGGGTGAGACACACCGAGAGACAGTCCATCTATAAAGAAAAGTGTGTGAATACTTTAACATGTTTTAATTCCATTTGGCCCAAATTACAAAACCAGAGTACTGTTATTTAAAGGATTTAAAGGAATGATCCGATATTTTAATGATAGTAGATAATAATATATAATAATTAATATAATTAATGTTAATACCTCTTTTATAATAATTTAAAATCGATGAATCACTTTGCAGAAGAAACTGAAGGATATAAACATAAAATGCAATATCAGGGGGAGTAATAAATATCGAAGGTAATAATTACATAAATTAGCAATTTGTCAGTGACAATAAATACATTTTATTTTTTTCCATTTATGTTAATTTCTTTTAAATATACCAGAAAAATTTGATGCATGACTTTTTTACTATTCAATTTATTTCTTATTTAATACATTTTTATTGTTCAATAATTGATTATTGCCATCTTCAGTCCTCCATACAATTAGCGTGTTAGCGTTCCTCATTCAAATCAGTAGAAGCTGCTATCAGCGAGCTAATAGCGGTAACAGCAGTGTGTCTCTGTCTGCAGAGGCTGCAATCTGCCTAGCGGTCTAATCACTGACAGCAGGTACCACACTGATCTTTGACCCTTTGAACCTCCACACAGTCTTCCGTCACTCCCTCCTAGCAGAAAACCCTCACCCGGTGACCTTTGACCCTGTGCCACCTCGACGTGTCGCTGCACGCGTTGTCCCTCACAACCAGCATGACCTGTCCTCCTCCGTGTGTGTGTGAGTCCCATCAGGATGCCTTCCCTCTGAATGGCTGACCTTTGACCTTTGACCACAGGTTCACCGTGGGACACGATGGGACAGAACCGGACCAGGAGGAGAACTTCTGGTCTCAAGCTCTGGAGGACCTAGAGACCTGCGGCCAGAGCGGCATCCTCCGAGAGCTGGAGGTGAGTCCTAGTGGAAGAGGTAGTAGTAGTAGTAAGTAGTAGTACCAGTAGAAGTAGTGTAGGGGAACGAGATCTTCAAGTTTTGCACATGAAGTAAAAGGTCAAAGTACTTCCACCTCTGTTCGTAGTACATATAGTACACATCCTCCTGCTGAAAGAACTTCATGTTTTAAATAGATACGTAAACGTTGAGTCATTGAGCTGAAAAGAGAAATGACTTCTTCTGTTCCAGCAGGATGGAAAGGAAGCACAACTCCTCACTCTGGTATCCTCCTCCTTCCTCCCTAGATACTAACTCTCTTCATTTCTCCTCCTTCCTCTCTTTCTGTCCTCTCCTGCTTCTGACCTCGCCCCTTCACTGCTCCCCCCTCTGCTCCTCCTCTGCTCCTCCCTCTCAGTCCACATGTTTTAGCGTTGTCCAACATCAGACGTGTTTTGTTTTTGGTAAATGTGACTAACAGCTCCACCGGCAACAGAGCTGCAAAGACCATGATGATGTCATTGTGACAATTTAGTGACATCGCCCCCTTCTGGCCAATAACGTGTAGTCATGTTGCACCAAGCATGGCAGTTTGAGCAAGGCATGCTGGGAGAGCTTGTGCAAGACCTGATGGGTAGTGGCTTTTCCCAGTCATTAAGTCATGCATGTGTCTGATGGGTCCTTGATTCTGATTGGAGTGTTGATTGATGTGGAGGAAACCGTAGAACCACGTTAAAGGATCAGTAGTAGAACATGTCAGTAGAACATATCAGTAGAGATCATCATCACCTGTCAGGAAAGGTCTGTCCTGGCATTATGATGTAAGCTGGGGTCAAAGTTCGGACTCCTAGAAACGTTTATGTGATGGATCAAATCTTTTCATTTGGGATGGACTCTTTGTTTCGATGGTTTTGATTGGCTGTCTGCAGGCAACCATCATGTCCGGCTCTAGCCTCAGTCTCAACCATGATCCCACCCCCCTGCGCAGCACACTGGGACGCCAGGCGAGCTTCCAGGAACGCAGCAACTCCAAACCGCAGGTAACCGGGACCGACCTTTGACCTCTGACTGTTGTTATTGTCTCATCTTTAAAGAGTGTTTCCTATCTTCTGGAGGATTTATCCCTATTTCCTCAGGTGACCAATCGTTCCAGCACCTTACCCTCTGACCCCCAGCGCCGAGCCTTCGCCATGAGGAAGATGAGGCAGGAAGTCAATGAGATCCTGAACCAGAACCCTGTAGAGCTCCACAAGGTAACGTGTGACCTCTTGAATAGGGCACCGAAGGTAAATGTACCTCCTGTGGTCCTAACGGCGTGTGTGTGTGTGTTTGCAGCTGACTCTAGAGAAGCTCTCAGACATGGAGGACTTTGGGTTCAGTGTCTCTGACGGGATGTTGGACCGCGGCGTGTACGTGAACAACATCCGACCGGGGGGGGCGGCAGAGCGAGGAGGCCTCCGAGCCTACGACCGAATACTACAGGTACTAAACACACGGGTTGGCAGTGTTAGTAGAACGTGTCAGTAGAACGT